GGAGCTTGCAAGGTCTTTCAGGATTTTCTCTTTACTTTTCTCTCCCTTTTTTCCCATCTTCCACTCCCAATACCTGCTTGTAGGGATAATCTGTGTCTCAGCCTTGAGAGGGAATGGTGTGTTATCCGGGGTGTAGTTCTGCCGACCCTAACCTAGTCCAGGACTCTGGAGATCAGAGACTTTGAGTCTGGCATGAGTGTGGTAGAGCAATACCAGGATCCACTGAGTTAGCAGGGCTCCTGCCACATCACACATTCCCTCTGCTCTTCTTCTTTATTACATGTGATATTCCATGCTGTTTAATTACCTAATGTATGTTTATTTCTTGGTTGGTAAGCATTTTTTTAAGTTTTAATTGGACTGTTTCAGATTTCTCTAATTGTTCCCATTCTTTGTTGCCATAAAAAAGCAGTGATGGAGAAGAAAGAAATTAAATGTCAAAGCCGTATTTAGCGCTGCTTCTTAGTAAACAAGTTTCTGCCCAACTGAATGATGTTGTCTCTGTGTTTGTATGTTTCTATAATGATATTCTGCTGTAATTGGACAAAGGACTTCAATATTTTTATGTGCTCTATAAATATTTAATAGAAAATCCCTCTGTTTACACTTAATTATGCAGTTGGATTACTATATTTAAAGTGGGTTTCCCTCTCTCTGATATCTGTTGTTAATCTTCACATGAACTGTGGCACACTATGAATTTTCTTAATGAAGATGTCCAACCATCAAGTCATTATAATTGACAGAAACCTGCTTGGGGTGAACAGCAACTCAGAGCTCATTGCAGTGAGTCATGTTACAAGAACGCAAAAAAACTTAAAAGGTTACTCAGCTAGCAGGAACAATCCACCCATTCATTTTCTAACATCTGCCAATTCAGAGTTGCAGGGGATCCTGGCAAGATACATACATTCTGGACAGGATGGTACCAGTTCATTGCAGGGCAAAAATAGACACAAATATGCACTCTCTTACACCAGAGGCAATTAACCTACCAGCAGGTTTCCGGACTGTGGGAAGAAACTAGAGCATGCAGAGGAAACAGACACAAACACAGGGAGAACATACAAACTCCATACAGATTGCTCCCCAGCCCCAGCACTGAGAGTCAGCAATGCTTACCACTGTGCCAATGTAAGGTCAGTACATGAAAAACATCAACAAGTGTCAAAATCAACTGTATGACGTCAAGAAGAATTCTTCATTGCCTGTGTTGTATTATCTGCCATCATGGACTTGGATGAAGACTGAGGTTATGCTCATAGGTTTCCAACACCATCTGAACACAGTTGCTTACTTCAGTGTTATTATTAAAGGTGCTGAAAGTCAGCCTTTAATGGAAGTCAGTAACTGTGGTGTTACTTTTGACCATGTGTTATCATTTGAACTGCATGTCACAAACATCACAAAGGTATCTTTTTCTATGTGTACTATTACTGGGGGAAGGCCTTTGCTCTGCCCATACTGATGCTGAAATATTGATACTTCCTCAGGATTACACTACTGTAATGCCTTACTGGGTTATCTGTAAATTCTAAATAGGCTTCACTATGTCTGGAATTCAGCAGCTCACGTGGTAGCGAAAACTACTCTGCATCAGCACATAATTCCCATCCTCTGCAAATTGCAGTGTCCCTGTGTGAAATTTAAAATGGGCATTAAAGTTCCCTGCTTAACTTAAGGTACTGCATTGTTTAGCTCCAGGTTATCTTCAGGGCTTATTGCATGAATATAGTCCAGCAGATAATCTGAGACCTGCTGATTCAGGTCTTCTTACTCTACTGAAGAGAGGGCTCCATACAATGGAGATAGAGCCTTCTCGTTTGCAGCTCCATGTCTGGGGAGCTCATTGCACAGAGCCATAAGAGCCTGCTGCAGTAGACATTTTTAAAGCTTCCATATTTAGCCGTGCCTTTTTGGTATATTTTTTAATATATAATTTATTTGGGGCTTTGGATTTATTGGGTCAATTTACAGTGATTTCTTTCTTTTCCTCTTGTTATGTGGTATTGTACAGTGCTTTGAGTTTTTTTGGAAAGCAAATATAAATAAACTGTATTTAAAAAAAAAAACGTTTGTTTGGCAACATCAGTCAGAAATTGTAATAGGTTGGGAAAATTAGTGAAGATAAGCAGCATAACCATTGGGACAAATAAGGTCAACCTAAATGTCCTCCCCAAACAGAGGCAGTAAAGAAGGCTAAGAGTGATAGGCAGTATGTGCTGCACCTCCTCCACTGTGAATTTATACTCTTCCCATCTGAGAGATGCCTCTGTGTTCCTGGGCATAACGGTAATAGATTCAGGAAATCTTTCACCCCCTCTGCTGTCCTACTCTCCAAGCATGTAAAATAACTCTCTGACCATCTGAAACACTGCTTTACTGTGTTCCTTGTTGGCGATGTTTGTCTGTTTGTGTTGTATTGTTGTGTTGGACTGTGCTGGAAAACAAATTTCCCCCAGGGGATGATCAAGTTTGAATTGCATTGAAAAGACAACTAAGCAGAGAAAGTGGTTGTGATCGCAAGGAGACAATGATAATATATATGATTAATTTATATATATATATTTGATATTGATACTCTATGCATACATATTGTGTATACAGTACATGGATATTTTATATTATATATGATTTAATAAATCCTGCAGATTAATATCTAACTTAATATTAGAAGAAGAATAAAGTTTCTCAATTCTGACGGCAATGTAGTCAGGATGATATGATGATTATTACCTCTAATAAAAGCAGTATCATGGTGTGGGACCCATGCTCTGCACATTGTTATAGCTCCACCTAAGCCAGTGCAGGCCTCTGCTGTTTCTTACACAGCAAAAGTCACTCAAGTTCTGCATCCATCTGGGATCCACCTAGTTTCTGGTATTGATAAATTACCGTATAACCTCATCAGGTAACTATGGGACAAGCTGGGTAGGTTTTAGTATCAACCATCACAAAACATCAGTATCAGTTAGTTGGTATACAGAATGAATACAGGACCATTTGTGTGGTCTGTGTGCAATATACTTGCTTACTATTTTTAGCAACACTGTTTGCATGCTTGAACAACCTACATGTATTTGTAAAAGCTGTGAAAGCTTATGCCTGTGCTCATGTGGGTGGATTCAATTCTTGCTTGTTTTAGAAGATGCATGATCTGTCTGACAGGAGTTTTGATTTGTGCATGGTGGATGATGTCCCAGTGCTATAATATTAAACTGACCTGGAACAGAGCTTCACAGGATGGTTTGACAGATGGTGAAACAGGCAATTGTTCATCTGTGGTTATTGTACACTAGGCTTGGCTGCTGCTTGTGTAGAGAAGTCTGCTCTGCGATATTCTGCACTCAGACCTGCTCTACAGCCTAGCTCAATGGTGGTAAAGGGAAAGTCAGGGGTTTTGGCAAATATATTGGCTTGGCAGGCTTGCATTCCTTGTGATATAATCTTTTGTGAGCTCTGTTCCTTAGAGAATAGTGCTTTACTTTCCTTTTAGAAAAAAATCTGAATAGAAAATATTGTGCCCCTAAATAGATCATATTTTCTAGCAACAGCTGGTGAGGGGATTGGGGTTCTCTAGTAAACATGGAAGAGACTCCTTCCTGTGTTTTAGGATTTGTGAGCCTTTGGTCACGTCTCCAACAATTCCCCCATCCCTGCTTGTCATTCTTTAGGAATGAGAACTCTTTGCACGAGGAGGCTTGTTATGCCTTATTAATGCTTGCCATTAGGGACACTTAATGTGCATGCAAGCCTGTAGGGGAGTCGTTTGTCAGCGGGTTAAGACCTTGACTAAATAGCACATTAATAGTCTAAATATGAAGTACCTCTCATCATTGGTAATGAACAGATTCTCTATAAGATAATTTTCCCACGCAGGTCTCTCCACTTCTTGTTTTATTAATGTATTTGAAGAAAGAGATAGACAAAAACCACATGACTGCATAATTATTATTTCTAGCTAGAACTCTAACAGATTTTCTGTTGTCTGCAGGAGCAAGGTTAAGGCGACTCATCAAGTCTATCTCTAAGGAGTCCTCAGTCCAGGACATGCAAATGGAAATTAATGTGCTTCTCAGTCTAATTCTGTGCCCTGTGTTTCTCATATTGGATCTGGCTGCCCATCATCTCTTACCATCAACCCCCCCCCCCTCAAATATTTCAGATGTTCTTCATTCAATCTTGGTCAAATGTGCAGGTATTTCTTTCAGATATATCATCTGATATAAGATATAAGATCTTTGCACATCCTGCTGTTGAAAAAAGCTGCCATTCTGAAAGTTTATTTAATACAGCAACACTGACTGTTGCCCTTTCCGAGTGTTGGCTGTGCTTAATGGTGGATCCCAAGTCTTATTCTCTCATACTGACCTGATATGCACCTGCAAGGAAGAGCAGGTGTCCTCTACCTGGCTTGCCAACAATGCCATGTGAATAAGCCACACAAGGCAGATTCTCCTTCGGCTGTAATTCATCCTTACCTGGGATCTCTCCGTCACAGAGATCAGGCACCTAGGGGTCACAGAGCTGGATGGAAATGTAAGTTAAGTGTTACTGTGCTTAGGATTTCAAGCAGTAGAGTTACCTCTCTACGGACAGTTCTGCAGACGTTTGGAAGAAAACTGTAACTGCGCACAGTAAGATAATTCATTGGGATCATTCAAGAAACACTGTGATATTGTGCTTCCTTCAAAATGCTTGTTGCAAACAAATCATGACCTTAACCTTTTTTACATTCTTGTGCTCAACTGAAAGCACAAAATTGATTTCAGGCAGTTTAATCTTTCAAGTGCCCTGTCGAGCCTTTTCCTCAAATGTACTTGTGATTATGAGTCCATAACAAAGCTGGATTATGTCTTTTAATTAAAGACCATCATTAGTCTGGTATCAATCTTGTTGACTCTCATTCGAACAGGTGTAGTGTTTGTGTTGTAAAGAATACATTTCTCACAGATCTACAGCAGGCACACATAAGAAGTAAATAAATCTCAGATACAATGCCAGTTTAATAGCAAATAAAATACACTTTATTCATGTTCCCAAATTATTCACTCTGATCTCTCACAGCATCCACAAATTAAAATTTATACAACTGCTTTGCCTTATTGCAGTTTGTTGACCTAAATAAAACTTTTGTAAAAAAATCTCATCTGTGTGTTAAAGTAGGGGACCCTGAGAAGGAGTGCAGGCAGATGTTCCTGATCTGGGGTGTCGACTGCAGGCTGGAGGCTCAGGCAGGGCTGGAGGTCTTCTAAAACCGAGGTTTGATCTGGAGCCTTTTTTCTGCAACAGCACAGAGCACAAGTGAGACTGGTGAGCAACATTCTGGGGGAACTAACTTAGAACTTCACGTGCTTATGAGTTTCTGAAAACTGTAATAATGCAAACAAAATCTATGAAAAACAAAAAAAGTATGTCCGTGCACAAACTGCATCCGTTTTACATTATCATTTAAGTTATTTGTGTCTTCTCCTGTTTAGCTTTTCATCAGTTCATCAATGCTGGATACAAACCTTTAACTTCTTTAAAATGTTAACCTTTCCCTCCAACACAGTAGAAGGAAACGGATCTGGCTTTAATTACAATATTTGGACACAAACACCCAAATCTGCACACTTCGGTTCAAGAGTATAGCACTGTACAGCACAGCATACAGCAGAGTACATATCCTTGTCAAGCACATCAGCAATATGCAGGAGAACAATTAAAGGACAAATATCTCGTTAAGGAAGTGAAAGTATCGTATACTGTAGCATGTATTTAAACTTTGACAAACAATAGTTATCAGTGATGTAATGGGCACTGGAACCACCAATTCACCACCTTTTGGCTAATTTATGTAATGCAGGAGAATTAATTTAGCACCTTTCTGTCCTTAATAAAATACCCGTACGTCAGACCACCCCCAGACTCTGTGTCTTTACTCACTCTCCCCATCCGGAGTGGACAGACGATGAGGCAGTGGCCTACCTGTCGCGATGTGCAGAGGTGTCATGTCTGGGCTTTTCTGCCTCCTCTCAGAGCAAACAACTGCTCTTCATTACAGCACTACCCACATGCATGACACCACCAAACATGTTGGGCAAACATTTTACTCTTTTACAGATTACAGCTAATAATGATTTAGGAAATTGGGCCTTGAATTTCAAGCCACACTCTATCAGGTTTTGAACCGATTTTAAATTTAGTTTTATAGTAACTTCCTGTTCAGGGCACCACTCCCGGCTCTTGGCTTTACTGAGATTTATGGATGTCTTGCTATCTGGTGCACACCAAACCAGCCCCCTGTGATACTGGATACCTGCCTCATGCCACACCACATGTTGCTCTTTTGTAAATTACTCATCTGACAGTTCTTCAGGGTCATTTATACCATTTTATGCATTTTAGGTATTTTATTTAAGATAAAATGAGCTTTGAAAACAATACAGAAACTAATTTTTGGATCTTATCAGCTATTTTCTCAAATGCTACAGCACAACAGACTAGAATACTGTAGGCTGAAGTAGTTCAGGTGGGTAGCTGTGTCAGCATATGTAGGCTGCAAAGGAAGAAATAATAGGTTAATTCCATGCTGAAAAGAGAAGAAAAGAGGACACCCGAAGAAGGCTTCACAGCCAAAACGTTGTTTTCTTTCTTCTCTTTTCAGCATGGAATAAACCTATTACTTGTTCCTTTACAATACTGTAGTACTAATAACTATTTAAGATTCAATTTTTCTATGAAGATTACCAGCACCTCAATTCTAATCGAATACATTAGACTGTGATTGTTGGTTTTCTCTATCTTATATTCAATGTTTGTGTAATGTAGTAAAATCATCAATTAAATAGATTTGCTCTGTTTCCCAAGATTTCCGGTTGCAGGTGTTTGATTATACTTGTGAAATTGAAACTACAGAAACAACAGGGTGTGCACTCTGCTGCACATTGAAAGCCAGACATGCTTGTAGCTGCTGTGTGGTTGGTTTTTTGGAGCTCAGGCAGGGAGGAGCTGTGAATGCAGTTGTGCAATTATGGGTACACCGGGGTCAAGGCAGCTGGAGAGACACACACGCAAACCAAGAGGGAACAGCGAGCACACCACATCCATGTCCGAGTGGAGAGGAGGGACTTTAACAGCAGCACAGGGCTCAGTTAATCTCTCATCTGTCAACCTGTCAGCAACACAGCTCCACTGCAGCCCTGCATCGTATGAGGGGCAATGCCAAAATATTATGCTGCATGATGACTATTAACAGCACAACATCAGTGTGACAGCTGTAGACAAATGAAATCCACACGGGGCTTCACTGCAAGTTCACTGCAAGGCAATCTAGAAATGCAGGTCTAGAAATGCAGTTGTGTTGTGGGACTATGACTTTAAAGTAGTTTTAAAGAACATCAGACTCTGAGATCCTCTTGACCAGTCACTTCTCCATTCTAAACTGACAAACTGAAAAAAATAATTTTGGAAGAATTTAGCACTACATTCCTACTTTGCTCAAACCATAAATGTAGTGAAGACACATTAATTGTACATAAAACAAGGGCAAATAGAAACAGAAATAATTTTTGAAAAAAGTACTTTGTACTTTGGTGCAAAGTACAGCAAATACCCTGTCACGGTAGCTTCTTAATTTGTGATCTGCCATGTTAAAACTGTGCATTCCTGTAAACCACTTGTTGACTACAGAATTTAACATCAAGAAGCCTCAGTTATCAACTCTCTTTTTAAGATGTTTCAGATTTGAATTTTAACGTGGAACTATTAAAATAAAAATATATTTGATTTAAATTGATGTTGCATAATAGGTGGATTTCACAGTATTTAGTATTCAGCACTGTCCGTTTCTTCTGGATTTTGCCTTTTTAGAGGTTAATTTGATGCTGCACATTGGTGGTGGTGGAGGGGAGTCCCCATTACCTGTAATGTGCTTTGAGTAAAGTGTCCTGAAAAGCGCTATATAAGTATAAGCAATTATTATTATTATTATTAGTTTTTTCCTCTTCTCAGTGTGGAATTAGTTGCTCCTCTGCAGCCAGTGCACACTGACCAGCACAAACACTCAAACATCCACATTATTTGTGTTTCATACTGTAGTTTGCTTTAACACATTATACCTATATAAACAGTTCTGTATGATAAAACCAATTACAAAGGTCCGAATAAACAAGGCTATTCCTTATCTCATATTACTTCTTAAATTACTGCACTTTTTATGGAGGTAGGGTGTCCATTGGCATCCTTCAAACACTCAGACGTGAAAGATCACAGAGCCTTTCTGACTAAGTGTTCTCAGAGAAGGTGTTACCAGAAGTCAAAAACAACAGGCAAAACAGTGAACTCTTTATTTTTTCTTAAAATGTCTAGTAGGTCTAGTTAATTCATTTATAATTATAATTCATTTATAATGGAGTAATACTTTTGTTCTTTGTGTTTCTTTTAGCTTTTATTATTTGTCCCTTTTTATTTCAACTTCATTAAAATGCCTAAGTAATTAACAACTCTATCTTAGTTCCATAGCCAAGTAGATCTAGGTGTGTCATCTGTAATACACTTACAGATGAAAAACCCACAACTCTGTTGGAGTGTGCATCTTTACTGCTGGTTCTGAACAGACTTATTTACTAATAGTTTCTTTTTTCTTTACAAAGAGGAGAATCTATCAAAGAAGATTGTAATCTATAAATTTTAGGCTAAGGTAAAAGACCTTAGAATAAATTAGATGTACTCTATACTTGTAGTAACAAATTATTGCTCAGGTTTGCTATATATTTGGTGTTGTAGTTGGATGGCTTTTCAACATATAGTTATACAACAGTGGTGTCATTTTTATTTTAAAAAAACATTGGGTTATATTTGTTAAATAATGATCTTAGTTATGAATGAGGGCAGTAATGTTATTTTTAAACCATTTACAAATAAAACCAACCCTATGCATCTCACTGACCAGTGCACTGGAGGCCAAATTAAGTTCATTGCTATATATTTAAAATATTTAACACAGATTTAAGGTTCAAATTGTAAACCTATGCATAAACAATACATAGCTATCCCCCTTTCCCTCATAACATTTGAGCAAGAACTTGCTAAACTATATTTCTATCAGGCTTGAACACTCCCAGTACTCAGTTATCTCCTCCATTGTGGACTAGTCGCCTCAGTGTATGTATCTAAATCAGTCAGGCTCAGGTCAATGCTTTGCCAAGAGACACTGCTGAAGAACAACAGAATCTGGACAGTTACATGTTTGTTCACACCAGATAGGGAATCTTTATCATAAGTCACAGAGAGGAGAACACACTATAAGAGCTGGGTTTTGAGGAGTGTTTTCCTGCAATTTATCTCACTTGAAACAAATGCTTTCCCATTGACTCTGGATGAAATGGGTTTGTTTCCCCAGTGAATTTCAAACATTTCGACAAGCCTGGCAAAGAAAACATCCTAATTGCCTCTTGATTGAAACTGCTCTTCTGCTACGCTCACTCTAATCTCTGCAAGGTTTTTTAAATATCATTTTTTAAGAAATGGGGAAGAACTAGATTCCCAGACAGTCCAGGGCATTAAAACCTGACGTAGAAAATGAAGTTTGGGTGTTTGAGGGTTCTAGCCTCTCTCCCCACCTCCCTGGTTCTGCTCTCTCGTCAGTGGCATGCCCTGTGAGCTGTCAGACGAGGTGTGCCAGGCTCACTCTGCAAGCTGACAGGAACAAACAGCAGCGGCCCAGGCGGGCGTGCAACAAAAGACATCAATTACCCGTGCAGCTCCGTCCACATGTTTCTGCGTCAGCGCAGCTCCCCTCCCCACCCCAACTCCAAAGCCCCCCCTCCCCAGCCCAAGCCCACTCGAGTGTTAAGCATGCTCAGCGGTGCTGTTAAAAACCAGCACAGAGCATCTTCCATTAACGTTACGACCGTGAAATATGACAATAAAATGATGGCCGTATGGTGGCAAATTTGCTTTCCTGCCGAGTTGCTGGGGTTTAATCGCCGCTCGAGTGAGCAGAGAGCTGTAAAATGTTTACAGAACGGGTCGTTTGTGGCCATAAAATCCTCCTTTCTCTCCTAAACAAGGCGGATTGGAGCCATTTACAAACCCCTAAACGTTCATCCACTGAGCGGTGAACATCTGTTCCTTCTCTTAGCAAAGGAGAGGGAGGGAGAGGCAGATAGTGAGAGAGAGAAAAGCAAGCCAGTGAACAGCCCAAACACTTCTCCAGCAAATTACCGGAAATGGGTGCCTTCTAATTAAATTAGCACTCCTGCGAAATGGCCCTGAGATTCAAAGGCAGTTGTTGGCAATCAGAGTGTTGAGCAGCAGTTTAAGAACCTTGGCACCAGTTATGTGGCAATAAAGCAAAATATGGAAAATAAGATTGGCATGCCACAGTGCTCTCGGATATAAAGAAAATTGAACCATCGTCTTAACTGCTGAAGGTTTAGAGCTACAGGATTGGGGCCTGTAGGGGCTGGTGGAGAGCGAGGACAATGGTTTTTAGACCTGAGGTACTGAGTGAATATAAATTTCAATACCGCTTTTAAAACATGGAGAGAGAAAACTTGTAATTGGGGGTAGTAGGTGTTCTTCTCCCATCACATTAGATTGTATGAGACAGCATGGGATTGAGGATAAAACTGAAGGATTCAGAAGGAAATTTAGTCTGGGACAATGGTAAGAGATGAGAGACTGAGAAAGGGAGGGAACAGTAAGGGACAGAGGGGACAGCTGAGGGACTGAGAGAGAGAGGAAGACAGTGAGAAACAGAGGAGACAGTGAGGGACTGAGAGGAACAGAGGAGACAGTGAGGGACTAAGCGAGGTAGGGAAACTGAGAAAAAGAGGAGACAGTAAGGGACTGAGAGGAACAGAGGAGACAGTGAGGGACTAAGCGAGGGAGGGAAACTGAGAAAAAGAGGAAACAGTGAGGGACTGAGAGGAACAGAGGAGACAGTGAGGGACTGAGTGAGGGAGGGAGACAGTGAGAAACAGAGGAGACAGTGAGGGACTGAGCGAGGGAGGATGACAGTGAGGAACAGGGATGCTAGGGAAAGAGAAGAAAATGTAACAGAGAACTATATCTTTAAATGAATAAAAACAGCACATGGTAGCATAACAGAAACAGCAGAGCAGCTGTCTCATAGCAGTAAACTAATATTTTACTACATTACATAGTGAAAATGACCTACCTGTTCCTTCTGTACCTTCACTCACAGGCACCTCCAGCTCGGTGCTGACTTCCGACGAGCCCGGTGAGGAGTGTAGAGAGATGTATGAAGGGAGCTTCTCAGGGCCTGAAGTGGCTGCCTCAGCTGGAGTGTTTTCTCCAAGTGCTGGCCCAGAGCCTTGGGCAGGACTAGAGCTGGAAAGGGCATGTCCACAGGCAACAAAAACATCAGATCACATATGAAATCATGCAAGGTTAAAATAAGCATTTTTATATCACAAGACAACTTTAGAAGATCAGGCACATTTATTACTACATCTTGGTCTGGCTGAAAACAACCACAGCCTTGTTTTCTTTATAAGACACATATTCATAATACTAAATTAACTCAAAGAGAAAAAAGACAGCAAAAGGAAAGTAATTTACTATAATGGGAGACAATATCAGTCTATTGCAGTTGAGCTTTGGTCTCTGATGCATAAAGTGTAGAATGACCATAATAATACTCTATTAATAGCAAACCATTACAATTAGCCTGTAGCTGCAGTGCTGATTGCTTAGTTACTAATTTTTAACCAGTTTTACTGAAGGGGGCTTGCTCAACACCTCTGTTCTTATACTCATAACTAGTTTAGTCTCTTTTACATGTGAATTTTAGGAGGATTTTTCACACAAGTCAAGGATTGCACTTTCAAATGTTAATTTGGAATACATAAGTTTTATATTTGCTACATGTGGATCTGAAAAGATCAATTTTGCAATACATGTTTGTGGGAGGACAGTCCATTTTTTTCCCCACTTTGGAAAATTTCCTATATACAGTATATAAAATACATCTTTACAACACCCAAAAATAGCACTTTATGCAAAGGGTACTGCAAAAGTGCAAGTACTGTCAAATACAGTGAAAAGCATAAGTATTGGGACAGTTATGTGGAATTGGCTGTTTTTGCTGTGTAATTAAGAAATTTGTAGTTCAGATCAAAGACTTAATATGAGGCAAACATACAGAATGTCTGCTTCTGTTTTGGGTATTATTTTGCAGCCATGTTTAACTGTTAGAAGAATGTTGTTTGTTGAGTTCATCCCCCACAATTCATGTGTTAATTCGTATCAGAACAAATGAACTTCAAGCTAATTAAGACAAAAGACAAATTTCAGACTTTTCACTGCGTGAGAACTTGTAACAGGAAGGGGACATCCTGCTGTGCTGTACCACTCCCTGCAGGGATGACAGGTGCAGGTCGTGGGGCACCTGTCCCCATATCCTCTTTGATTCCACGTCCAATGTTACGCTACTCAGGAGCACTGAGGTTCCTTCATAGCACAATGTCAGATGTTCCAGCTCCCACTGTCTGGTGCTCTGGTGGGCGGGTGAGGTATGCTTCCTTACCGGACCAGAGCCTCCTCACTCCCGGATCTCTGGGCGGAGTCCTCGGGCCGGTGGGGCCTGGTCCCCCTGGCGCGCTGCCGGTGCTGCAGTTTGCACTTGGCCCCATGAGGGCAAGCCCCTTTCTTGGTGAAGTCTGGGCACAGCAAGGTGTGCTTTTTCTTACACTGCAAAACACAGAGCGCAGGCTGGGCGGGTAGGTTTCAAGGCAGCGTGCAGAACAGTTCATAGAAGACCACAAGCGCGGTCAGCAAATGATTGATGATGATGATGTTAATGGCCTGGTGAATAACTAGCGCAAAATCTGTATTTCTATTGCTGTCAGTTCTACTGCTACAATACCAATCCCTACAATGCTGTAAATAATACATGTATTACAGCATAATGATCCAATTAATGCTGCTTCTAGTAATGGTGATGATGATGACGCTGATAAAAAAGCATCCCTCCTAAGGAATTCTAAGGATTGGAACACATGTGGTTTGGGATTCGGGAGCCCTGAAGGAAGAGTGGGACAGTACGAGTGTGAAATATTGGAGACTCGAGGAGGGTGTGTGAGCATGAGCCTACGGGCGAGTGCCTGCTTGAGCATCTGTATATAAATGTTTTCCGTAGGAGAGTTTGAGTGTGTAGAGTGGTGTCCTGATCACTGTAAATTGGCAGCCTCATTCTTGAGGAGATTCAATCCCTCCCACCTGTCAAGGAAGCTAATTATACACACCGGCGGTTGGGGGGGAGGGGGGGAGAGCAGGTTGATCCATAAAAAGAGAGGGGATCGTGTGTCTGGCAGCAGTGTGGAGTCCAGTCCTCCCCCTCACGAAAAACTCCTCAAATACCTCCCACCCGTGCATGGGGGGAGAGCAGTGACAGAAGCTGGAGCCTGACCACCCTCACCAGACCAGCTTAAGAGAAGCTTGGGCTTAGCACCCTGAGTCATACATTCATAAAACATTCAACACCATGCCAGCTTCACACCTGTTTTTGTTTCACTACAACAACAGCCCACAAAGTTGGCACACTGAGCTTCTGAGTGCTTATGCAATATTGCAATCCACTGCTTTTTGGATCTGGTGACATCTGAGACTTTTTACTAGTCAAAAACAAAAGTGTTGCAAGTTTTCTGCCCGAAAAAGTATTATTTTTTTAAATCGGAAAATATATCAAAACTACTGGAACCTTAACTGGTGAGACACATCCTTGCAGGATTTGCAAAATGTTATTTAATCTCTTAACCACTTACTCCCTACCAGGGCTAGATGAAGTGGTCATCACTGCATGGAAGGAGGTGTTTCAGTATTTTAAACTGTCAGCAGACGCTGCTCCTCATTACAGCCACACAGGAAAACAATACACATGCTGGAAAGAAAGCTAAAACTAGGGAAATTCACATTCAATTAACCTCAATGAACAAGCTCTTAACACAGACCTCCGCATTCTTAGCAACTGTTTCAATGTATTATTTATGTTGAATTATTAATCATTTGATACATAAAATAATACATTAATGTATACTGGTCAAAAAAATTAAACCAAATAAACACTGGCTAACAAAAAAGCACAGTCCTCCACATTTTCATTGGTATCTGACAGTACAAAATTCATTTTAGTGGGGGAATATTCACAGTTCCATGGTAACACAAAGCAAATTCGAAAGACTTCGGAAATACTCCATTTCTCCTTTCGTAGCCCGTGTCTAAAAATGGAAAGTTCCAGACGTTACATGTGACGCCCTGGAAACCAAGCCAGCCCACGCGTGACGTCAGGGAAGCAAACCTGAGATGAGGACACGATCGGGAGCAATGGTGCCAACCCTTGGGTGTCCCTGCAGGTGGCTTGCTAGTGACCCTCACTGCTTGCGCTCGTGCCCGTGACATTCCAGAAACTGAGTGCCACTGACGCAGCCCAGCTCCTGCCAGGATAGTGCAGCCAACACCAGCAAACTGGTGCCCGCTTTCACAGCGTTAGGGGTGAGAGCTTGTCGCAATCGTACAGGTTTTTATTTTAATAACTGTTAACTACTCTCCACGTGCATAACCACATGCAGTTATATTTAAGAGAAAAAGAAAAACTACCTTCTGACACCTGTGGAGTATTTAGCTTGATCTACATCTTTGATCTGGTTCCAATAACCTTTAGAAAATGGAGAACAGTGTTTGCTAAGAAGCAAAATATGTGAAGATTGATATCAGAACGCTGGTTTTATAAATCAGCTTCAGCTAACGACTTCACTAAGAATGAGCTTCCTCCACAGCGCAAGGACAAATCCAGCAGCACACGTCAGTGGCACGTCTGGTCACTGAGCAGAGATCAGGCCTGCAGGTGCAGGGCAGGTACAAAGCAGGAGGAACAGCTGACCAGGGCAGATTCAATGCTGATAGGTGACCTGCCTCTGAGGTTAGTGTGAGCTATTATTCTCCCTGCCTCCCCTCACTGACAGAGCCTGTCACTCTACCGTGTGGGGAGTGTGAGCTCTGCTGCTGCTTACTTCTGCACCTCAGTGTGTTATTAATTCTGGCACTACCCTGAAGAACTCAAGAACGTTTCTATACCATGTATTCGTTAATCAACTGGCTCACTCATTAATCTGTTCCTCCTTCCTACTCTGTTATAATCTGATGTGATTAACCACCCTTTATTTAGACAAGTCAGTCCCCTTTATTTTCTCTTTATTTAGAGAGGGCAGCTGAGAACATTTACAATGATGACCTTGCACCAGTGCTGCACCAGTGCTGTACAGAGTGAAAGAAAGGGAATGTCAATTAAAAATAACACAACAGAACGTGACAGTGGTAACAAGAAGCCATGCAAATAACATAAAAATAGACTAACATACTTTTAGGATTTACTTACTGTCTAAAGTCAATCCATTATCAGAAAGCTGGGCCTATCCAAGAAGTAAAGAGCATAAGGTACAGTAGGACAAATCCCTGTACATGACACCAGCTCACACACGCTAAAGCACACAGGAACAGTGCAGCGGAGGGGTCAGCAACCTTTCAGAAGGGGTGTGCCAAGAGTAAACTAGTTTTTATGTTTTTCTATTCTACTGATATACTGAATATTCCTACTTACATTTTGATTAATAAATATAAATATACAGTGGATATAAAAAGTCTACACACCCTTATTGAAATTGCAGGTTTTTGTGATGTAAAGACAGAAATCAAGATAAATCATGTCAGACATTTTTGCATCTTGAATGTGACCTTGCAACCAACAAAATTCAAGAGAAAAACAAATAGATAATTATTAGGAAAAATAATTGAAATTAAAAAACCTACAACACCCTGGTTGCATAAGTGTGCACACCACCCCAACTAATACTTTGTGGAAGCACCTTTTGCACTTATTACAGCAGTAAGTCTTTGTGAATAAGTCTCTATCAACTTTGCACACCTGGAATTTGCAATTTTATCCAACTCTTCCTTGCAAAAAAGTTCAAGCTCCTTCATATTTCTAGGGGATCTCCTGTGCAGAACCCTCTTTAGGTCATTCCACAGGTTTTCTATGGGATCGAGGTCTGGGCTCTGACTGGGCCATTCCAAGACTTTGATCTTCCTTTTCTGAAGCCATTCCTTGGTTGACTTGGATGTGTGCTTTGGGTCGTTATCATGCTGGAAGGTGAAATTCCTTTTTATCTTTAGCTTTCTGACAGAGGCCAGCAGGTTTTGTGCCAAAATATCTTGATATTTGGAGCTAGTCATTATCCCATCTATCTTGACTAGAGCCCATGTCCCAGCTGAAGAGAAGCAGCCCCAAAGCATGATGCTGCCACCACCATGCTTCACAGTAGGTATGGTGTTCTTTGGATGATGGGCTGTGTCGTCTTTGCGTCAAACATATCTTTCAGAATGAAGACCAAAAAGTTCTCCCTTTGTCTCATCAGACAATAAGACATTTTCCCACATGTTTTAGGGTGATTTAATGTATTTTTTTGCAAAATTTAGAAGGATTTGGATGTTCTTTTTTGTGAGAAATGGCTTCTGTCTTGCCAACCTACCCCATAGTGCAGAACACGGGAGATTGTTGTCACATGCAAGGAGTGACCAATACCTGCCAGAAATTCCTTAAGCTCCTTTAATGTTGCTGTAGGCTGCTTGGTAGCCTCCCTGATAAGTTTTTTCCTTGTCCTATCATCAACTTTGGAGGGTTGTCCTGATCTGGTCAATGTCCCTGTGCTGCCATATTTTCTCCACTTATTGATGATAGTCTTCACAATGCTCCATGGTACATCCAATGCCTTTGATATTCTTTTATACCCCTCTCCTGATCAGTACCTTTCAACAATAAGATCCCATAGATGTTTTGTCAGCTCCTTGCGGACCATGGCTACCCCAGTAGGATGCAACCACGAAAGCTTCCAGGAAATCCTACAGGAACAGCTGATTTTTATTTGGGGTTAATCAGAATCACTTTCATTTATGGCAGGTGTATGCTACTTACCATTGGACATGATTTTGAATGTGATTTGTTAACTCTGAACACAGCTACAGCTCCCATTATAAAAGGGTGTGCACACTTATGCAACCAGGGTGTTGTAGGTTTTTTAATTTCAATTATTTTTCCTAATAATTATCTATTTGTTTTTCTCTTGAAGTTTGTTGGATGCAAGGTCAGATTAAAGATGGAAAAATGTCTGACATGATTTATCATGATTTCTGGCTTTACATCACAAAAACCTGCAATTTCAATAAGGGTGTGTAGACTTTTTATATCCACTGTATAAATATATAATAATATTTAAAATTAATACATTAACATGCAGACAGAGGTTGTGTTCACCACACGCATGGTGCAACCCATTTTTCATCATGTAGTTCAGCGTTTTGACATTTTCTGACAAAAATATTTTGATTGCATCAAGACAGTCCACAAAGCATGCCAAAACCTCCCCCCAGCTCAGCCAACAATTATGGCTGTGAAGCGGAATGTTCTTGTAAGAATTGTCCATCTCCTGAAGCAGAGCCTGAAACTGCCTGTGCTCAAAGCTGATTGAACAACAAGAAAATTCATTATTTTCACCACTGTAGATACATTCTTAAGCTCATAATTTGAAATCTTGACACAATGATTTTGCTGATGAATAACACCAAAGCTAAAGTGATCTGCAACGATCGTATGAAATCCTTCTGTTTTACAAGAGGCACCTTCAGTCATGATCTTTCCTCAACAGGATCAATCAACGATTGTGGTCATGGGTTCACCTGTAGCTATGCCATGCATGAGTTTTAGGCAGCACAAATCTTCTCGACTTCCTGACATCTGAGTCACAGTATGTTGTTTATATCCATGCAGTCCACGAGTGCAACACTAAATACTTTCATATCTTCTGGCGTCAAAGCCTGCTAACATTTTCAGGCATTTAATTTGTCCGTCTCAATTTAGCAGATACAGGTAAGCCCTTAATTCTAAAGATTACTGTGTCTTTCTTGGGAAAAAACATCTGAATAACTAAGAACAGCCTCTTAAATATTCCCCATCTGTAAATGGCTTTCCGTGTTTCGCAACACATTGTGTGATTTTGGAACTTGCTTCTGTAGCTTGATTTTAACCTACAAATCAGTAAAGGTGCTGCTTTATTATCCATACCTCACAAGTGCCCATTTGATAGACTCAGCCGTGTTTGCCTCTTCCTTGATATGCAGTAAACAAAACCCATGACACAGAGCACAAACTCCACCATCTTTATGGTGAGCAAGTCCATATTCACCTCTCAAAAAGGCTAAAATGAGTGAACACCCAAACTTTGCTTTATTGGCCACTGCCATTTTATCCAAAAGCATTTGACTTTACACTTAAGTGTAAAAAATGTTATCAACAATACGGATTGAGAGCTTCCCTGTGAAAGCGATAGGCTAGCACCTCTAAAAAAATGCAGTAAACAAAACTAGTGATCTTTTTTTTTTCATTGGGCAGCATGTTGTGGAGAATTACAGAGCAGTCATAGTTTTTAATGTTTTTTAAATTAATTTATTTGTGGCTTGTTAGCCACTATCATGGCACATGCTGTTAAAAATCCCGATAATGGCACATGTGCTGTAGGCTGCCGACCACTGGTTTGAAGACACCACTTAACCTTGCCAGCATGTCTACGTGAGGCAGGAGCAATGTGGACCACCTAGAGAACACTCACATGTGACATGGACATGGGAAAAACATTCAAACCCCTAATGTCTGCAATCAAACCCAGGACTCAAGAGTTATGAGTCACAGTGCCACTCATGAGTACATAATATGTCATAATAATTTATATTGGAGAAGTGTGAGGAAGTGAAAGATTTTCGATTTCCTTAACCATAAAAATATTTAAGTAACAAAAATCATAATAAGAGTTGAGATCTATTCTTTGGGACAGGTTCAGGCTATGAAACAAATGTATGCAAAAGCAATGGAAATTATCATTAAATGTATTGATTAAAAATATTAATGAAACATCAGCTTATTTTGAGACTCTGTGAGAATGGGAACTGTGTGTGCTGTGTTTTATCACGGTAGTTGACTGTGCGGGGCAACACCAGGGGAAAAGCATTAGTATCTGTGAGCAGGTACACTGGGAACACGGACCACTGAGGAAATTGGGAATCATCCCAGAATATATGCCTCAAACCTGGGAAATGCCACCTGTATAAACATAGGCTAACCCATTTCAATCACTGATGAGTTCTCCACTTCAATCAGTAATTGGAAAAGGCAGGATGTGACAATGGAAAGTAAACAAAAGCAAAGGAATAATAAATTAAAACAAAAAGAAAATTTAAAGTGCCAGTGAGAGGAAAAAGTTTAACAGCGTAAGAACAGTACAATTAACAATCCAATGGAAGAGCTTAGATTTTTAGAAAAAGCTGAATTAACGGTAAAAAACACCTCCCTCAGAATTACTGTGGAGGCATTCTGATACACAATTACCTTCCCTGAAGTCTTCAGCAACTACCTAACCACCTGTTTGACATACAAATAGGTATATGACTTAACAAACCTGCTTAGCAGAGGATTATAAATTCAGAACTACCTACATGGATTGGAGCAGAGGGATAGCTGAGACACCAGTAATGGAAAGTGTGATGAAAAGGGACAAACTTTGTGAAGGTGCAATTTTTTCCCTAACATTTCACTCCTAAAATATGGAAACATCACTTAAACTCGGGGCAGTTCTTTGTCCTATACACCATTTTCCAAACTGAATTAAAAATAGATCAGTTAACAGCAGTTTTGTTGGTTCTGCAGCACATACAGAAGATTGAGTATGTAAATTCACAGTACCTGCTCAGACCACACAAGAGCTACACAGTGAGAAAAACAGTTGGATGTCTGTTTAAATCAAGAACATGTGGAGCTGAGGCCCTTTCCAGTATTAAGTGGTTAGACAATGTATCATACCAAATGGAGGAAAGTTAGGCATAAGTTTAGAGATCCAATAAATGTTTTGGGGTCCTAATAAAATGGACAGGAAGAGCAGTGTCCTAAATCCAATTCAGTCTACTAATATCTCCATATTACTAACATGAACGGTAGTAAGACCTGAAACGTCTTTTCCAAGTGGGTAGGTGAGGGACAGCACTTAGCAGACAAAGAAAAAAAAGCCAAAACCAAAAAGGAGACACTGAACAGCACTGCAGTCTCTGGGCTGGGATGGGGGGTGGTTCTGCTAGAGAGCTGTTCAAAGTCTTTGATGAGGGAGATTTTTACACCTGCAATGAGACTGCAACAAGCGTGGCCCAGGCCAGCTGCTAATCCAATACATTTTCATAAAAGAAAGGAACATCTTTATACAAGACAAAGTTACAATTTTCCACTTGATTTAAGGAAGATCGCTAACTCTCCCGGGTCTATTAGAACCCTTTCTGCTCAATATAAAAGAGAGCATCAGCAGATTTTATATTATTGAGAAGGGAGAGTTAACCCCTGAGTTGCGAGCCTGGTATTTCTCCTCCTTGTTACAGACTGCCTGGATCAGCGTTTTTCCCAATATATAATTATAGGCTGCTATCCATCATATCAGGGAGAGTGCTTTTGTGGCACACCAAAAATTACAGACTAAGCACTTTCACTAATAGAATAAATATTAATATCTCTTCTTTTATATATTCTCATTTCAACTGGAATATTTAAATATACACCGACAGTGTGGGAATGCACAAACTGTTAGGAGAAGGAGAGAGAGAGAAACAGAGGAAAAAGAAGCCTTTTATGCTCTCCCAGTGTAGCTCACATGTGGGGATACAAGGACACTCCCTGAAAGAACTAAAGACAGAAGTTGTTATCCACTTGTCTTTACGTGTTTAAAGATTTATTACAAGGCATTTGAAAATCATGAGGGATTTTTTAGACTTTTGTTCTATTACAGTTGCTTGCAGTTTCCATTGGCATGATGGCTGTTAACAGCCCATTTAAACTTTCATTGTTAAATTAATTGATTTCAACTGGAATTAAAACATTTACAGTTCTATCGTTTTTTCATCACTTATTGACATTAAAATAATAATAATAACCTTGCACATATATTACTGATTTCTGTTCATAACCCCCAAAGAGAACAAGAACAGTACTGATTGGCAATAAGTGCTCATGGAAACAAATATTTTTTCACCCAAACAAAGGTCATAATAATGGAAATTAAGTAATACAGATAATTACATGGACATGCATTAATGTGGAAGGGTTTTCCAAGTCATAATTTGGGATCTGTAAGTAGTTTTGACTTTTCTGCATGGACGTAGCCTCTACTTGTTCTTACTTGTCATCCCTCATACATATACTTATAATCTGTAACCTTGCTTGTCTTCATTGTCTGTATTTTTATTGTGAATCACCTCATCATCTCAAAGGTAAACTAAACTGACAAATGTTGATTATTTTGCTCAAGTACTCCTTTCCTTATTAAAAATTCATTTACTCAACCACACAACATCATAAAACATCAGCATGCCTTATGCAATAACAGAAAGCTACAATCAAGCACACAATTGGGCAAAAATAAAATACTGGGGAAGCAGCAGTTATCAAGGCCCAGAGCTGACCACCTCTGCACTAGACCACGGACTGTACCTTCTCTCCCAGGGGGCAGTACCCCCTGACGAAGTCCTGGCACACAGCAGCTTTCCGGGACACATAGACGTGGCTGTAGGGACAGCTGTTGTTATTGCAAATCCCCTTCAGGAAGTATGAGCACACGGGCATCTGGGGGAGTAAAAAAAATAGCCCATCAATTGTAAACCAGGGGTTGGCAAACTATGGCCTGCGGGCCAAATCCTCCCCGCAGAACTTCTCTGAGTGGCCCACAGATCCCTACTGTTTGATTCTCGAGGGTTACTTTTTGCATCAGATATTGAAAATCTTCCACTACTGGCCTCTACTTGTTAGCTCTGCTGCTCTTTCTCGGCATAAACAGTCAATTGCAGAACACCTATTGCACAATGCATTTTACTTTGAGCCTATCAGAAGCCAGCTTTAGCCTAGGTTACATACGCCTGTGCTACAACTGATTCTTACCGTAAATACATTTGGATTTTTGTTGCCTACTGTGATTGGCTCAGTCATGCAAATGACGTCTAGTGTATGCTATCTTGTTTGAAAGCAGGTAACGATTTCAAATGGTTCTAAAAGTTATAACTGACAAGAGGCTAACTGTAAGTTATTCTTGCCATGTCGAAAAAAAGAAAGATCAACGCAGGGGGTTGAAAATTCAACGACAAATGGTCAGAAGAGTACTTTTGTGTATGTTGGAAAGAAAAGGTAAAGTGTCTTATCAAGAGACAATCGCCGTGATTAAAAAATACAACATAAAGGGGCATTACAACACAAAACATCAGGTTAAGTTTTCAGAATACACAGGAGATGGACAGAGGGAAAAATCAGAACAGTTGAAAAAGTTGCGTCATTGGCCAGCAAAACCTGTCCAAGAGAAAATTTCAAAGAAAATGTTGTGACGACCCAAGCTAGTTATCGAGTATCACACCTTCTAGCAGCAGCTGGCCATCCCTTCGCAGACGGCGAGTTTATTAAGCAGTGTATGCTAGAAGTCGCAGAGGAGGTGTGCCGGGAGAAACACGACCTATTCCAGTTGGTGAGTTTATCGGCTAGAGGATTTCACTCAGATGGCCCAGCAAGCTTAGTAAAACAATTTTAGAGGCCCTTGCTCTAAAAAGCTTGCTGACCCCTGTTGTAAACCATCACCTGTGTGACCTGAAGACCACCGACAACACAAGAGCAGCAGCCTGAAGGACTTTCTGTTTCATGACTGTGAACAGAAGGACTGTTCTCTGCATCTGCTTTCTCTCTTATCTGAACACAAATAATACAACCTGCCCTCAAGTTTTTTTCTTCTCTAAAGTGCTTTAACAGTAAGATTTGCTTTCCTCATCTTGTTTCTCAAGGCCAAAAACCAACAGTAGCTGAAGGGAGTAGGTTCTCCCAAAGCCCCTGCACAAACACAGAGCTTTTCTGTAACAACTAACTGGAAACAGCAGAGGAAGTAAGTGGCCAAGCTATGAGTGGACATTCGCTATGGTGCCCTTTTATCTCAGAAATAAACAAAAGCATGAAAACCTGGATAGTATTGCAGGTGGAAAGAGTGAAGAAGACAAGGCTTCCAGGTCCGAATTCCTGTTTGGAAATACAACATTTCCATTGGTCTGTACTAATGTCTGATTATTGCTCCATTCCATTCTATGTTACATTCCATGTTTAGACTGCTGTGCTGCTGTACCACTACAACTCTCTAAGAACTCATTTGTATTGTCCTTTCTTTACTCGCCATACACACCAGCACACTGCAGCTGAACAGCTGTTTGATTGATTTATTAATCAAGTTTTTTGTTAAGGGATATTAAATTCTCCAAAAATATCTGAACCCATCCAACACTGTTACGTGAATCAGTTTTATTAAGACTAGAGGGTGAGGGACTGAGATAACAAGAGCCTTCTTCAAAAAACACAGGCTGCAGTTATGTTCCTGCCAGTTCACAGGATCTTTTCTTTCTTTCATTCTTAATGTGAGTCATGGTTCTGGGAAGAGGCGCTCCACACTTCAGCCTTAACAGCTTGAGTTCCTGTTGTCTTGAATGTTGCACTCAATGGTTATTGCAACAGCACAAACACTTAACATCTGTAAAAATGACGGTAAGTTTAGATCCAGTGCAAGTAATATTAATGGCCATTTGTGACTCTAAACTCCAGTGCAGCCCTACTTGTTAGCTTATCTCCAAATGAGAATTACATCTGAACTGGGGGCTTCAGATAAGATTGTAGTTTTGAATATTACATTCAGTCCTTTCACTACTCTGCGGAACACTTCTGCCTAGTAATTAATAATATAATTAAAACTGTAATTGGAATTCCCTGTGTGCAGTTTAGCTAATTTTTTTGAGTGCTTTTTTCTGATGTACACTTCATGTTTATTTATATGTACAGTATCTGCAGGGGTCCTCCCCTTTTCCAACGACTTCCATAAGTGGAATATCATATCTACTTAATTACCTGCTACAGAAATGTTTGTTCTACAGCTATCACTGTCTGGTGATGCACAAGATGTGAGGCCAATGGCTGTCTCTGGGGGTACAGTTTCAGGGTAGATCCAGGACTCCTCTGTCCCCTGCAGCAAAGGCTCAAGATCGAACACAGCCCCCATCCCCCCCACTGCCCAGCTTCATGTGGTGTACACATGAGACCAGAGTGGGGCTAAATTAGGCCCGAAGAAAGAGGGTTGGGGAAGCAGCCTAGTATTATCTCCTTAAGATCTCTTTCTTTGGTCTTCCACAAGAACGGGTAACAACATGCATAGGTGCAGCAGGTTTCTGATAGGGCGATCTACGCTTTTGGCAGCACTCAGTGCTTGGACCCTGCTTTGTGACAACTGCCTCCTGACAACGAGACATCTGGTGTAACACTGAACCTTCTGGGATCAAGCTTAAGTGTTGATTTTGTTTCTTTCTTCCCAAATGCTTCTGCCATTTTGCTCACGTTCATCTGCATATGTACAGTACAGCCAAGGCTTTTGAGTTTTTGACATCAGTTCATGCATATTCTGTAGACAATGTGCAGATTTAGAAAGCACGTGCTCTGTTTGCGCCTTTCTCTAACAGGTGAAGCTAATTCTGGGGAAGGGGGTTTTTCTGAGAGGAGGATGGAGAGTGTGGCATATATTTTTTCCCCCTATGTTTTTCACAAAAAGATCTGAGCAGGGCTAACTTTTATGCAAAAGCTCTCTTTGGTATGTGTACCATAACATTGAAGAAAACTGAAGAAATCCTAATATATCTTATATTTCTACATGAAATGTGACAATGTCTATTGAAATTGTTCCAAACGTTAATAAAAAAGGCATTTAAGAAAGTGTGATAGTACTGCATGTTCAGAGAAGATAGAGGCCTTTGTCTGGGCCTCATTCCCCCAGAATGATGTAGGTATGAGCTGCTGCTCTTAGTCACCCGACTAGTACCTGGAAGACAATTAAACTATGGAAGTGGAACTGTGGTACTGCGGGTTTTGTTTGAAAGGTTTGTGAAGAGTCTCAGAGAGAGTCTGAAGTAAATAAAAAATGGTTGTTGCTTTTTTGTGTCTGTTTTCCTGCACCCAGCTATTTTCAAAGAATTTTTTTAATTCTTGAACTACACACAGCTGGCACAATGCCATAGTGGTTAGCACTGCTGTTTGACACCTGGGTTTGAATTCCGAGTGGAGTGCTTTCTGTGTGAAATTAATCCCTCTGCCCACATGGGTGCTTCCACAATCTAAAGACTATGTTCAGGATAAATGTTGTCTATAAATTGCCTGCATATGAAAATGTGTGTGAGTCTGTGTGCCCAGCGATGGGCCTGACATCCTAAGGAAAGAGTAATTACCAAAGAGATTTGAACAAGAATAAACTATTTCTTTGCAACATTAACATTTTTAACAGACCCTATGTATATACACAGAGGTTAATAAATCTAGGGTTATTAGATGTTTCTGCAGTGTCATTAGACTGTTTGTTAAGAATGCTTTGCAATGAAATTGATAATTTTTCTGAAAAGAAAAATGAATAAACAAATATCTTATGTTCCATACTGAGATAACTCCTTGTTTTCCTTGTAAGTGCAGTACCGACATATAACTGTTTGCTCACCTTGTCTTTGGAGACTTTATGTGAGAAGGGACAGGTGCCGTCAGTCTGCTTACAGGTACCCCTCAGGAACCTGCATACACAAGTTAGGGCGTCAGCTCCACTGTAATCTCTCATTGTTGCTATTGGCAAAAAACTGCACTTGTATGATCTTTGTGGTTGTTTGAACTGCTCACTTACCCAGCATTCTGTAGGTATTTTTTTTTTGTTTACTGCAGTTAAGAGAAACAATCTGATAGGAAAAAAACACTGTATAAGGTTTAAAACTTTTCAGTATTTTTCAATGTATTTCTATATAAATCAATGAGTATTTTTGAACAGTGTTAAAACACACATTATAACAGTAATAGAAATGTGTGACTGTACATCTGAAGCTCCCCAAGTCACTGGGCTGGAGGTACAGTATCTCACTGAGGCGACAGGTTCTAGTCATCCAGTCAGTTTGCAGCTAGCCCGTGGATGAATAGCTCCATAGTATATTCCAGTACCTGGTGCAGACAGCCACCTTTTCGGGGTCGTGGATGTAGGGGCAGTCCTGGCCACGGTTGCACTTGCCGAAGCGGTTGTAATACATGCAGTACTCCCTGCCCTGCTGCTTCTTCAGCCGCGCCTGTCGGATGATCGCCAGGCTGCGCTGCACAGCCCGGCTGCCAGAGAGAAGACACACGCATCAGCACAACAACAGTGCAGCAGACTCAGCTCACCTGCATCAGGCAGCTTGGTCTTGGGCATGGACACGCTGTTTAAATGAAGGATGAATGTGTCAGCCGACAACTCTAGGGCACAGCTACGGTGAAGTGTCAGCTCCCAACTGGGAAACAATGGCACTTGTCAAATCACAGGTCACTAGGACCAAATATCTGGGTTTATCTGGGAATCCTGCCTAACGTTCCACAGACATTGCATTCAAAACCTCCTGGCCTGTAGCAGTGACCAGCCTGCACAGAATGCTGGACCTCCTGTAGTTATGGCTGTAATACAGCATTCATAAAAAAGAATTCTTCTAAACTTTTAACTAATAATCTTATTCTTAAACAGTTTAAAAAGTTCATTTTTGCAGTTTCCTGTTTTTATTCTTAGACGTATAATCTTTAGTACCTGCTAGGTACCACAAGTATAAGTGCAGTGAGTACTGCTCCCTGCCATCACAAAAATAGGAGAATCGACCTTGAAACTTGGTCAGTTTCTGAATCTGCACGTGGAGAACAGGCAATGCAATGAAAGCGGAATGAAGGTAAAAGTGAGTTGACCCACCTGGCAATGTGTCGGCTCGTGGAGGCCCTGCTGGAGCTGGTGGGCGTTCCTGGGATGGAGCTGCCAGACAGATCGGCCCACTTCCCTGAGGGAGAAGGGAGAGGCGTGTTGGACAGGACAGTGTCTAACAGACTCCCTCACACTGCCAGAAAACATCCATTAGAGGGAAACCTTTATAAAAACACGTTTTCACCTGAAAATAGGTGCTCAGCATACAGAAACTAAGCAGTGTGACAAAAACACACAAAGATTATATTTGACTCCATGTATAAACTTAGGCAGTGAGTCAGTGCTATCATGGCGGTGTTTTTTCTTTGTAAACAAAACGAGAATCAAAACCAGTAGTACAAATATCAAAGCATGTCAATTATTTTGCAAAATGACGTGTATATGTCAAATCCATTCACACACCTGGTACAAAGTAATGCTCACAATCAATATAATCAACACAAGGGAACATTACTGACCGCTAAAGCAGTGTAACATACAGCTGCTTTTTAGTTAATGCCTCGACAGATATAACTGAGCAGATCAAGAAGGCATGGAAAATGATCAGTATTAGCCTGAGTTCGTACAAGTTTGTACCACCTTTCATAATTAGAGATACAACATAAGAAACAACAGCAAAAAGGATCAACCTAAAAGAATGCATCTTAACCTCATTTAGTATCATACACACCAAGTCACTATTTCTCTCTGGCCTCATTATTTCATCTATATCTCTTGGGCTCATCCCTCTGGCAATGCACCTAGCCTGCAGTGATGTATCCAACCAATCTCTGCCCAGTGTCATCACAGGCCCCCTCCACAGCCCAGGGAATGTGTACTCTATCAGGAACCATGAACCTTCCATCTTCAACAGGAGAATCACTCCTCAAACTGGACTATGGAAAGGAGAGTCAGGTGGAAGAAAATGTATAGAAAATGGAAGAGATGGAGATAAACAGGATACAGAATGTCCAGACACTGAGAACATTTATCTACATCCTTCAAAAGTAATCTGCGTTCTCTGAACATCAGAGAGGTAATGAAACACATGATGCTATTCATCCCATATTGTTTGTTTAGATGCAATTAATTTATTTGTCATAGACTCTAAAGCAGCACGATTTTCAAAGACCTACAGCATGGCCTAGCGGAGCTTTCCGAGTCCCCACAACTCTATGTAAAAAGTGCTATTTAAAGAGCTTTTACAGTGTTGAATGTATCTATTTTTTGACACCCTTATATTGTTCTTGAGCTTGAAATAGCCCCTGGAGTTGGACTGGCATGGTACTTGTATTACTGGATTTAGTTAATAGGCTGGTAGGGCAGAGTTTTGAATATTGATTAAATGTTCTGGTATCATCTTGATGAATTGATCCCTCATTATGGACTGATACACTTGAATGATTTTGTTGCATTATACAAAATATCCTTATGAATAACAGTTGACTGGGAACAGGTGATGAGGTGATTTAACCTCTTCATGGACAAACATGAAGAAAATCAAGAAAGAAAAACACAGTATGGAACCAATTTGTACCATGTATGAATAGAATAAAGCCTTCATCCTGTAGTACTGGAGGCTGGATTAGGTCACCTCAGGTGGAGTCGCCAGCAGTTGAGTCAAGTTGTTTTTAATGATGAATTGAGGCTTTGTTTAGACTACCCTGAAAGATGTCTGCAAGTGTGGTGCAGAACAATACATTAATTCTTATGTACTGTAAAACGGATCAACTGATAGAAGGTCCAAGTGTGATGATCTGAACAGCTGTGTCTAGTCACTACAGAACTCCTCTTGCGGTGCTCGATGGCAGCCTCACTACATGACACAGCACTGATCAAGTCCTTTCACCTCACTTATTCCTTTTACATGGGATCATCTGGACATGACAATATTCCAGAAGAAAAGAAGGCACATAGACTTTTGCCTTAACTTTTAAAGTGGCCGGTACCATAGCTAAGTTGCTCTTATCTTTTGGAGACTTCCGCTTTTCTGGGAAACTAACTGTACAGAGAATAGTGGGCATTACATAATAATTGTCTCAGATAAATTTCAGAATCTCAGAAATATTTGAAAGACAACCATACGAGTATGTACACATGCAGAAGCCCACAGAGTTAAAGAGCCTTCATGGAACAGTCAGGTTTTCCTGCAGAAACAGAGTCTGCCGAAAATTGAGCCACACTTTTCAGTACTGAATATCAATATGTATGTGTCACACTGGAGTAGGTGTATGTGTATGTGTCACACTGGAGTAGGTGATCTGCAATTCAAGCTGTTTTATTCCATGGCAAGTGCTACACCGAGATGTAATATATTTCGATTTTGCTAGTCTATTTTGAGCTTTCTACAAATATTAGGATTGATTCCTCCAAGCTTCAGATGGAATGTGGCCCCATTCTCCTGCCTGTTGGTGGGACAGAGGCTGTTGTGTGTGTAAGCTGGACACCTGAACCGTTGCTTACTGGCAGCTGAACTGAGAAAGAGCAGGAGTCGGAGAATAGAGAGATCAAGAGACGGGGGGGGGGGGGGGGACAGAGTGTAAGAGAGAGAGAGCACATAAGAGGATGATTGAGTGAGATTTGATAGCATGTAGTCATTCTGCGGGACACAATGGAGCTGTCACTTGCTCTCTGAGCCGACAGCCCCCGGCCCATCTGTTCCACTGCATGTGAGCAGCCGCCATCCCCTGCCCCCCGTACTGGAGCAGAACACAGCAGAGCGGGGTAGGGGTGAAAGACTGGGGGGGGGCATCTCCTATCTGTCCCTTGCAGCCCTCACGCTTTCTGAGCACCAGGCACTGGCGATGACACTCACTCATCCCCAACATCTGGCTGTCTGACAAGTTTACGCCAGCCCCTGACAGTTTTGTTTTATTTTATTGCGATATAATAGAGGATTAAGTGCGCCTCACAGCCGCCAGGGGCTCTGCTTATGTGCCTGTACGTAGCTCTCATGCCAGCTCGGGGAGCTGCCTGGCTGAGTCCTGACAAGACGACATCACAGCTTCCCTGCCAGGTGAATGACAGCCTGAGAGGAACGATATGATTATAATTACAACAACGAGAAAAGGGAGGGAGCAAAGGAGGGAGAAAGAAATGTACGCACACACAATCACAGGTGCAAGTCTCCGAAAGAACAGACCACTCAGCACCTAAAAGATGTTGACGTCTGGGGCGAATTTCTCTAAGTGAGCAGTAGTAGTAGGTACGAGGATTTCTCTCTGTCTGAATTTCTGGCAAGAACCGAGCTTGTGTGAAAAACGCCTGTCACCTTTAAAAGAGTGCAAGTTACAGAGAACTCTTTTATCTGAAGGCAACAACAACTGAAATCGGATAACCAGCTTGCAAATGGGTATTTTGTGTATTCTGTGGAAATCACTCAAGGAAAAACAAAACATTCAAAACAAAGGGATGAGAAAGGAGAAAAGCATATTTCATAAGGCAGTGTAGAGGACTATATAGAACTTTGGACTACAGACTAGAGAGTATTTTCTATATAGAATACAGAAAATGTTGTACAGTAGTGAGAATTATACCCCATTTTACTGCAGAGGATGTTCACAATCTATTCTGCAGAACAATGCGGATGAGTGACTATAGCATTGTGGGTTCAAATCCCCAGTGGGACATAGCTGTTGCACCCTTGAGTAAGTCTCCAGTTGAGTCCATCATCATAAAGGGGGCTTTGCTTTCTGCTGACTATCTGGTTAAATAAGTGACTGAAACACATCTTCTCCCCTCCCTTCTTCTTCCGCCTTTGCCTGTGTGACGGATTCTGTTAGGGGGCTCAGTGGTGAATGGAAATATTTGGCTACTGTTTCACTGCGCTAACAAGCTTCCCGCAGTTACAGTGCTGCTTTGAGGTGCTGTCAGGGAGGCTGGCCTTTTATCTTGTCCGCGGGGAGTGCTGGCGGGAGTGTCAGTGTAAGAGTGCACTGCGCTGTGAGGGAACTCAGCCCACAGACTCCAGTGTCCGCTCTCACATGGTCCATTACAGTGCCCTCCATAGAACTGCCTCCCTCTGGATGAGCCACAACATGGTAACTCATCTTCTGCTGTGCTGGGTCTGCCTCGTCCCGGTGATTCCACACGACATAGAAGCACTATGGGTGTTTTTAATCACCCATAGTGCTTCAGTACAGTGAAGAACAGCATTTGTGATTATACAGAAGAAAGACATGCATATTATTAACTGAAGAGCAAAAATTCCTAAACCATGATGCTTGTCCAGAGAATCTCTTTCTACTATTTTCCTTTTTAAAATTATTCTACTTTTTTATACTTTAGATAAGATAAGATCACTTTATTGGCCATACACATTTTCTTGTATTAGGAAATTGTCTTTTCGCATACCCCAACTTGCTCTCCATGAGACACACAGACAGGGAGAGAAGCTTGAGGTCAAAGTGCAGGGTCAAACATTTATACGGCACCCCTGGAGCAGCTGGGGTTAAGGGCCTTGCTCAGGGGCCCAACAGAGTAGGATTCCTCTGCCAGCCATGGGATACGAACTGGCAACCTACCAACCACAGGCACAGATCCTTAACCACAGAGCTACAACCCCCCCCCTTTGTAAGTGATTAAAAGTTAAACAGTCCTGTTGCTTACAGAAGCAGAAGAAGGGCAATCATATGTACTATTAGGCTATTTCTTATGTCATGAAGTCATGTTGTAACATTAGTTTTAAAATGACACCAGCTGTTGCACTGTGATTGGAGTTCAGTTCCAAATACAACTCACAACAGCAGGAACCACATCATCACCATAACAGTTTCATGCCTCAGTGTGGAAATATTTCCATTGATATCATGGGGCTGATTGTCTTAACTGATAAGATGAAGCGCCTTCTTCTCATATCGCAGGCGTGGCTGTGGAGTGCATGTGATGCACGTGACAAGGCCAATACCAAGCCAGCTAACTGACCTTTCCAAGCATTCCACTGCAGGACTTTGGCAAGGTAAGCTCTCAATTATCTGTTACCCTATTAAGTATTTAAAAAAACTAATTTTGATCCAGTTTTAGGTCGTCTTTATTTTGTGGAAAATGTATTTGATAGCCTCTTATTTGAATCACTGACCTGATATCAGGGGTGCTAATTGGCTTGAAGAGCAAATTTAAAACAACTGTACAAATTGCCTTATTAATTATTTAATAATTAATTAAATAGGCTCCAATACACTAAGAGAAAAGTTATATTTTACTGAATCTTACACGTCCCTTGAAACTGTATCACATCCATCCCACTGGTCTAGCTCATCAAATGGGATGGAAAGTACTGTACATGTAGGCCTCTCTGTAAAAAAAGCTATGAAGTAGCAGAACACTCCAGTGTAGGAATGAAAAATCCTGTGTTTAAAAGCCTACAATAGCCACAGGTGTCTGGAACAAACTATCTGCAGCTATCTTTCCGATGCTAATTACTTCAGAACACTAAAAAAAACATCTTCTTGGATCTCTCAGCTACTAACAACCAATTTAACAGTGGGAGCCAAATGACTCCTTGTTTGCAGCTTGTCTTATGTGCTTGTGTTCATAAGCTGTCTGTATTACCTCTTAAATGGCTAATTCATGCTTATAGTTGTTCAGCTCTGTAGAGACTGTGAAACTGCAGATCCTTAACAGAATATGAGCTGCTGTGAACTGAGTAACACTAAGGACTTAAAGGACTGTGAAGAAAAACAAGACCCAACAGATAAGCCACTGCGTAGTGATTTCCGGGCCGTGAGTTAGTGATTCCCCTAGCTCCTATGAAGTACTGAAGTCTAAGTGCTTTTCTCTCAGCTGTACTTTCAATGCACACAGGAGGCAGGAGGTTATATTAGCTCCCTGGTTTGGGGATTGTATGAGAGCCTGTAACAAGTTATGAGCTTATAGTCTTACAACCCATTCCACGTAACAATTTATAAAAAGAAAAAAAAACCTAAATTAAAGCTCAGAGGCAGGCAGTAATATGAGATTGCTTTACAGTTGCAGCAATAATAAGGGTTCACATTATCCTGACCCTGACCCAGAGAGGCAATCAGACTGCAGCAGTGAGACCATAGGACTGACAAGAGACTCAGTGCTCCATGCAGAGTCCCCTCTACACAGCAATGCAAGGAAACTAGAGAGATCATTCAAGAGAGTGGGCTGTGCTGCGTATTATTGACGCTCATATTGACTTATCTGAGAAGCCTCATCGAGCAGTTTCCTGAAAAGTTTTAGTCACCGAGTATGCACAGCAAGCAGCAAGAGGTTAGGATTCTCAATACTCTGAGAAGTGTAGAGAAGTGGCCATGTGCTTTATCTGATATTAATTTACTTTGTATAGGGATGGGCTTGTCCACTTGAACTCCTAGAGAGAAGGAAAAACCCAAGACTGCTTTTCCATTTTGAGACAACCAGATTTACTTTTAACATCCTTATTAAAGATCTCTATTACACAAGTCATAGAAACATCTGAACCATATTATCACAGTGCTTACAATATGTGGAGAACCCTTTTACATAAAAAAATTGCATCCCAGGCTGTAAAGAGCCTTGGTCCCCGAGCAGATTAGCACACAGGTCACGGGAGATAAAAGGTCTTTAATTTAGGTACTACTTGTTACAGGCTGGCTCGCCCCAGTTTAATCTCATGCTGCCGTTTGAGTACATATTCTCAATGAAAGTAATAGACTGGCCCTAGTGAATTGACAGATGACAGCTTTATTATTTCAGATAGGTCTGTGATTAGCCTGCCCGCAGTCCCAGTGTGAAGCTGTAGTGTGTTCAGAAACATGAATACACAGGGGCACTTTCAGACAGACTCCCAGCTCTCACACATAAAGACAAATGCACATTTACACAGCCTTGCAGGCACACACGCAAACAGAGCTGCTTCCTATTTGAAATGAAGCAAAGATAAACTATGTGCTAACAAATAGCTATTTAGGAAACCATAAATCCATAGCGTCCTCCTATACTAGGTTTGTCTCTCAACTCTTAAGCAATACATTGTTGACTGTGCTGCATCTCCCGCCTGCTCTAGCAATCAACTTCAACAATTTCTAAATTACTTAAGGATCGTCCATCCATCTCACAAATCCACTGTTAATGTATCTTCAACTGGTAATGTTAGTCTCTCTGTTAACTACCCAAGACTGAGAACTTCAGTGTATTAGAAACTCGCACATTTGTCTCCTTAATCCCAAATGCACAAACATTCTCTTCCATTCTCACAGGTTCTTAGACTATGCAGTGATGAAACAGACTTCCAAATCTAAAGCCAAGTGGTCTGTTTACATGGACAGGAGATGTCCTTTGGATAGAACTCCCTACAACTAAAAGTCAACCTTCAGAATACTATCCTCATGAGGAGTTCCTGCAATCAGAACTACATTCCATTTGTCTTTCCCTCCCACCCTGACAACCTGTCTATTCCCAAGGTCATCAAACTTTTCCATTGTCCTCTTCTCCATTTTCTGGGATGACCCTTGAACTGGAACCTTTCTTTCGTACTGCTGGCCACCTGATATACACAGCCTTCAAGCCCACAGTTCCCCTAACTGCCCACGGCTACCAGCCATACTTTTAACTGAAACAGAAACTGCAGTCATCACTGGCAAATACATAATCAACCACTCACATATATATGGCACCTCTGGCTATTTCAAGATCAGCCTTGCATCTCCTTTATTGCATTTCTTGCAGAAATTGCCCTGACATTCTACCCAGGAAGCATAGATGAAGAAGACCGTCCAACAGGCAAAGTGCCAGAAAAAAATATTTTTTCAAGCTGATAGTCCTCCATTTGACCTCCCTTGGCCACTTTTGCACTGACCTTATATTCTTGCACAGGGGTTCAAAACTTCCTACACTAAAAACATGTCTGTTGCCAAAATCAGTTCACACACTCCCCAGCCTCTAATGATCATCTTTTAGTTTCCCCACTCGATTCCCCAATCAATTTAGAAACTGTGATCTTCCACACTTCTGAAGTGCGTTGCCCAAATCTCCTACTCTTCACCCCGTCTCCAACTCACCCTGCCTGATTTTCACACATTCTTTCCTTTCTGACCCCACCACTTTCCCTCTTTCTTTCTCACCGTCATATTTATGTTCCATTTTCTTCTTTTCTTTTCAGAAAATATTTTCTTTCAACATGAATTCGCTCCTGTACTTTTCTGTGAGCCAGAATAATAAATTACTAGAAAACTAAACTGAAACTCACCAAAATAATGCTGAACATTACCTCAAACTTACAACTGCAATGAGCTTCAGACTTTGTACTTGAAAACAGCAAACAGCTATTACTGTATATAAATATGATGTATTTAATTGTGGACATCACATTATCCACACTTGATACAGTATGAATGCTGGCAGAGAAAAAAACAGAACTGCAGAATTATATGCACACTGACAGAGATGCCATGTTAGAAACTGTATACTGATGCATATGGCCAGAGCTTCCACAGACACAGAGAGCTGTAGGCCACACTGGGAGACTGTGATGTACCTGCTCTGTGCTGGATGCTGCCGCTGCTGGGGACAGGCAGAGTGGGTGTCTTGCACAGCTTGTTGGCAGAGACTCTATACAGAGCCCCCCCGATCCAGCGCATGCTCCTCCCTCTCCAGGGCCGCTGGGGGGGCTGTCTGTCCTGGGGCGCACGCAGCCGGGTCTGGAGCACAGTCCTGGAAAGTAACAAATACACAAGTGCTGTCAGCCGCTCACCTCCATAGGACTGAGCTATGCAGAATCAAAAAGGATTTTTGGAATTTTTAAGGAGGTTAAAAAAAAAAGGAAATAAAAGGGGCACCAAACGGTGCGGAAGTCCTACGGCTCTCTCTCTAAACTTCGCAGGAAAATAATGAAGGCTCGAGTCAACAGACACTAATCCTTAAGTTTCAGATTCATTTGCATTTGACTGATGTACACTTTTTCACCATTTTCACTCTTTTTTTACCATGAACTGGAATGCATTAATTTATGAATAGTGTTAATATCATCAGTGGAGACCAGATCAAATCAACCAATGCTTACACTCTCACCTTAACAAACTCAGCTTTTATTAGTGCTGCTGCTCTGTGTTAGCTGCAGTGTTTAAAGCATTTGAGGAAGTGGGTGAGGGCAGGATAACCACATGGCACACTTTGCTGCCTGAAGTGGTGGGCGTGTGGCTATCCTTTGGTAAACCACAGAGGAGCGGTAACTAAGACTGGAGAATGACGTATGTTTAATCGAACACAATACAGAAAAACACAATTTCCCCTTTGTCTGAAAAAGCAAGAGGCTGTCAGGACTGGAGGGCGAGATTTTTCTCTTTCCTTCTCCCTCACTCGCTTGTATTTCTTCCCCGGCTCGTCACGGGCAGTGTCACAGCACTCTGCTAAATTGCTCTCCTAATGGAAAGGACGGCAGTGGTGAAACGGAGAGAATTGAAAAGAGAATAGGAGGAAATCAATGAGATAATAGCTGGGGCAGGGACCGGAGCACAGCGTCTGCCCTGCTCACACAGAGGGGGGCCACAGTCACCACACACACCTATTCCTCTCGTACACAACCTACTAGATTCCCCAAGCCCAGTGGACAGCCATGGAGGCACACACTACTGGACTGTGTGTTGTAACATTTTAAAACCTGGTTCACCACTAAAAATAGAATGATAAAAGGAAACTTCTTTTGTATAACTAAAGGTCTTAATATTTATAGCACCTTTTAATCTCGCAAACAACCCTGACACTTGCTTAGAATAAGTTATTGCCGTAAATTAGCAGTACGGAGTAGAGGTTAAGGGTTCTGGACCTCTATCTAATAGGCTACGGGTTCAAATCTAGGACTTTCCTGTTGCACTATTGAACAATATTCCTCACTCACTAGAAGTTACTAGAATTAAAGTGCACTGGTATATTAAAGGTTACTCTAAAGTCCATCAATGTAAAGGAGAATTTGTTCACAATCTTTGGTTAAAAATACATTGCTATTATCAGAGGAACCTTAGTGTTAATGCTCACTGATGGGAATTAGTGCTGAAAGACAAAGTCACTCATGGTCCCTCTTCACATCTTCAATCATCTCAATCATCATCTTTGTACTGTTTTTAAGTTCACGTAAAGATTTTCCTCTTGAACAGAATTAGAAGTTAAGAAGAGCTGAGAGATGACCATGGCCACCCACTCCAATCTTGTATTTCAGCCACCCCATTTCAAAAACCTCAAAATCCTCTATGAAGTCGTTTTTACATTTTAAACCGAACATACTAGAGAAAATCCAGGACACACTGTTCCTTTGGTTTCTGCAGATGGAGGATACTGTATGTGTGTACATGTGGGAGGGGGAAGAGAGGGGGGCTGATGGTTGAACAAGGAGCCCTCAGATCTCAGATCGTCTCCTTTCCTCTCACACAGTTCTCCTGTAATGGGAGGCATGAACTCTCGCTTCAAATCCATTTCTAACCCATTTGAAATACTACAGCAAATTATCTCCCCGTCAGCGTGCACGCGGGCAGCCAATTTCCTCCAAATAGAAGTGACAATACAACAGAATTTATCGCCATAACCTTGACTCCAAGGGGTGGAGAGGAAGTGAAGTTGTGGGTGGGTGTATGGGACTCTGAGTGAGCATTTGTGCAGAAAAAAGACTGTTCTGATGAGAAATGTTTAACCTACCAGTGTGATCAGTTTGTTATTCTTAAATCCTCTGCATTAATCCTGTTTGTTTTAAATATGTGTTTCCACACAATGACACCACTACTATCTGAACACCAACACTGAGCACAGAGAGGATTCTCTGAACATAAACAGTTTGTTGTTCATCTGTATATGGATTAGAAGGGCATTCCTAACTCCAAAATACCCTCTAAAATTTGTGGGAAGCTAAGTAAAACTTAGTGAGAACAATTTCATGGAGTTTGTCCTCTAAAATGTGACTAAAGAAGTACAATTTGCCTGGAAGACAAGGGTGAAAATGAACAAGTTTGAAACCTAAAAGCAAAAGAAAACATTCAAATAAGACAGAAATACAAATAAAACAGAAAAAGGTACAAAAATGAAATGAGGTACAAACAGTGAGACCTGCAGGCATAGGATAGCTGTGCAATGCTCATGGAACAGCAAACAACAATCACTGATACGATTCCTCATTTGCACATCATTCCTCAAAAACTGGTATTTTTAATAAACAAACAACAACAAAGGTTTGTAATAAGCATTTACAACAAAACCTCAAATAAAAGTTACACCAGCAGCTTAGGCTTTTCGCAGGTGGACCTTTAGTTAGCATGAACCCAGGACCTGTGGCTCAGGGGTAACCACTCTCATGGGGTAACTCTGTGTTCCACTGGTCTCTCAGCTCAACCACAGGATCAGACTGCTCTACCAACTGACAGGAGAACCAGGTCGGACAACTACTGAGCAACCCACCGGATCATGAAAATCTTAAACAAACATTAAATAAAAAAAATAGAAATGTGAATGTTATAACAGTATTCTAGCTAGGGGATTGATGGGCTAATTTTTTCAAAAGTAGATCTTGTTTAACTTCTTACATTCTTACATCCATAGTGGCAAAGATTAACTTAACATAAAGAATAAAGGGTGTCAGGAACCGGCAACCCACTGCAGTATGGCTCTAGAGCTGATTCTCTTGAGATCTTTCTAATCTGTTATTTATCAGCAGCCAAATGAAAGATAGAAACCAAATAAGCTCCTGCTGTGCAGAACCTTTCTTGCTTTGTGCTATCTTCCCCCAGTCCTGAATGTCTAAGAGCTTTCCCACAGAGCTGTCCTCTTTCCCCTCTGTTCATACTGGCACGGCTTGGCTCTGCAGCAGGTCAAACACCTACGGTATGAGTCCTCACCCCTCGAGCTGTGGCATGTTCCCAGCACAGCCTCTGCAGCCACAGTGAGGGCCGAGGCTCACCGATTCCAGGCACACATGGAGCTCTAATTTTCCTGGCCAGTAAGGAACAGTGATTCAATAGGCACATAGTAAGTTTCCCTCTCACTCTGAACTCCTTCCATTAGGCTGGGATGTGTTGTAATGTCAGTCTCAAATGAATCCAGCAGCGGAGCACAGTTTGCCCCTCTGCTGTTCTGCTGCGACGCCCTGCGAACCCCAGCTTATCAGTACAAGATGATGGGGGGGTTGGGTTGGGAGGTGGTGCTGGTGGGGGGCGCACAGAAGTGACTATGTTAATGTGAAATTGGCTGGAATGGCGTCTGCTGCCCTTCCCCTATGCAATTCCATTATCAGAGGCTCTGGGACTCTATTATATTTGAATCACATTTTCATAGCAATTTCATTTTAATGAAGGATTGAGAAGGAGAGCGAGGGGGGTGGGGGGGAGAGACACACAGTGACTGAAAAGATTAAAAGGGAAAGACTTGAATGGCTTCAATAAAACGAACAAATTCTCTCTCTCAAGCTTCCTTGCCAGGACAGATTCTGCATAACAATTATATCTCTTGCAACTCGTGCCCCATTGTATCTTTAATGGTCGGAAAATTAGATAAATACTCTGAGTGGAGTCCGGGAATGCCCTCCATTTCTCCTGAGAGCTGTATTCCTGACAGGTTTAAGACAGCCATGGGATCTCCCTTTTCCAATGGCATATTTACACAAAAAAGAGAAGGAAAGCTGTAAGTCCAGATGAGAGGAAAAACAATGAAGCTACACACAGTGCTGCTAAGAACACAAAAAAACTTTACAGTTTTAAAACTGTCCAGACTGCAGAGGTATTTGCAGTCCTTGCATAAGACAAAAAATAAAACAAATCTCAAAATATCAAATAACTATTCTTCAAGTCATTTTAATACCACATTCACTGATGAATTATGGCCTGTATGCCAAATGATGGTATTTGATATCAGTTTCCAGGCTACTGGTGGAGATCTCTTTACTCCACATATTTGGAGGTGCCATGATCCAATATCTTGATCCACGTTTTTTTTAAATGAGAACAACTCAGGCAAGCCCTCTCAATCTGGAATTCCCAGCTAACATTCACTGTTAGCAATGTGACAGCCCCATGTGAGTGTAAAACACTGAGTGGGTGTCCTCTTATCCCACTTTCTCTCCAGGGCCCCCACAGTCATACTGTACTTCCAAAACATTTACTATGAAATTCTGCACTTTGTCGAATACTGAAGAATATTGGTTGTGACGGTGAGCTCTACAAACATCCAAGGTAGTGTACAAGGTAGTTACCGTTGACCCCCAGCATTCAGTGAGTAACTGATACAGCAAGATATGGACTCATTTTACAAAGGCAATCCACAAGCCTTTTCCACTTGCATGTTTGTTTGAATATCTTCCTTTGGTATTAATCTAATAGAATTAGATTTAAAATTAGAAAAAAATGCAAGACATTTAAATTATAAAAAAATGCAAGCTGTAAGGTGGGGAAATAATAAAGAAGAGAAAGAAAACAAAATAAAATTTATTTTCTTAATAGTCTTGATCCTTTAGAGTCATCTTTTGCCTTGGTGAGCAAACTGTGTTATATGTACCCAATTACAACCAGAGCTGCCTATACAGACATGGATAAACCTCCCACCTAAAATAAATAGCAAAATAACATCATTTAATCCTCCATGTAACCATGTATCACTGAAGAGCGACATCCGAGATACACTATTATTAGACTCATCTACAGATGTGAGTAGCCCAAGGGTCTAAAAATAAAAAAAAACCT